GGAAAGAAGCAAGCACCTTCGCAGCTTTGCTTTTTCCAGGATGAAAAATTAGAGACAAGATATGAACATGGGGATGCCCAGTGTACCTGGATACACACACCCCTTTATTGGGAACTTTTGAGTTGTAAAACAACTAGCAACAAGAGACCAAACTCGAAGAAATTTTAAGAGTTAATTAATTAAAAAATTTTGAAGGGACTAAATGAATAAATTACCCGTTATATTTTGATTATTCTGAAAATTTTTTAAGATTCCATCCCTCATTATATTTTGGGTACAATGGCAGTAAGGGCTCACTGAATTGATGCAATGGACTTAGGTAAATAATTGGTACATTATTCAATTTAATATATTTTTTGATACATTTTGATTTAATAATTAAAAATATAATATAAATACAGTCAATTTAATCGATTCTTGAATTCTGTGTGCATGATTATATTATTAAATTTATCTGTTTTTAATTTTAAATAAAAAAATAATAAATTTTTAATAAATGTCTCATGCAGTGTGTTGAATCAGAATGTATACCACTATACCCGTTACTGTCCAATGTTCCTATAATTGGTGACACGGAACATATTAGATGTGATCAATGAAATAATATTAGTTGGTGGTTCCTTAAAGATGTACATCTTTGTGTTGATATTATTGATATTTAAATAAAATTGAAGTTAAAATTAATTATTAAAAAGTAGAATAAATAAAAAAAATATTTCCCTGTTCATAAAAAAACACCGAATTTCTCTGTTACAATTTCTCTTTGGAATTTAGATGGCATAAAAGACTTTTCCTCCAATGTACCAATAAAAAAAAACAAAAGGCATAGAAGACGATTATACTTAATATAGGCTTAATCTCCTATTTTGCCTTTTACTTTATAGATTTAAAGGTTGTTGGTCTCATCTTAATATTTAATAGTATTAATTTTTCAATAATATAATTTAAAAAAAATTTCCTTTTATTTACAAATTTAAAGCACATGTATTTAACTAGACGATTATAACTCTTGTTGAAACACTTTCTAATTATCTTCCAGGTAACTTAAGCAGGGGAGCTCTCTCTTGAATCAGGGCGATCATGTTTTTATCTAATTAAAGAAAAAGTAAGATTAAGGAAAAGTTAGAGAAAATAAGAACGTTAATTTTTTATTTTTTATTTAAAAATATTAATTTTATCAATTTTTAAATAAAAGTGTTAATTTTTAATTTTTAATTTAAAAATATTAATTTTTAA